GCTAAGTAAACAGAGGCTCAGAAAGAGTAAGAAGTGAGAGGATAGGGTAATTCAACCAAAAAAGTGAATCAAAATTAAATGAATCCAGTTTCTTTAACTAGAGAATCAATAATTTATACTTAAATTCTCAATTAATAAATACAGGTTAAATGAACAAGTTAATTCAAGTCATATTTCAACACACATTTATTAAACACTTCCTATATGCTGACACTGTTCTAGGCTCTAAGAAAAAGTAGAGCATAAGACAAACAATGCCCCTCCTCTCATGGAACTTATGCTTTAGTGGTGATAAATAGAGAAGAAAAACAAACAAGAAAGATATGAGAAATCACAAGTAGTATGAAGAGAATTAAAGCATGTGATAATGTGACCACATGATTACTTTAGATTGACTGCTTAAAGGAAGGCTTCTCCGAGGAGGTGATGTTTCAGCTGACGTCTAATGACAGAAGCAGACAGCTATACAGAGATCAGGAGGAGCAGCATCCTAGGCAGAGGGAACGCAGCTCCCAAAACGATCCAAAGGCCAGAGTGAGCCGGGCCTACGTGGGGAGCAGAGAGAAGGCCAGAGTGGCTGGAGAGGAATGTGCCAGGAGGCCAGCGGTATGACATGAGTTCCAAGAAGAAGCCAGGAGCCAGGATGGATGGACGGAAGGATGAAAGAACAGATGGAAGGAAGAAGAGAAGGGGAAAAGAAAGAAATGAGCAAGAGTGCACATTTCAGGTTAATCACAGATTCTTCTCCATGTTGATCTTTCTGCAAGTTTTCCGTTAGTCCACATTCCTACCTTAGCAAGTACTGAAGAATGAATATAACTCTTATTATTTGATATTTTAAGACAACGCTATCCCTCATGTTATCACCTTAAATTATCAACGACCACGGGGTAGCACTAAAAAAAAAAATCTGTAGAAAGTGTAATAGTGTGGGGGTGAAGAGGTATTAATTTCAAGAGATACCCAGAAGGTGAATTTTCAATAATACTTGATTTGAGTCTGTTTTGTACTGATTTGCCCCTTTCTCCTCACGGACTATAAAAGATATTCTTAGTTAATTAAAGATTCACATTTGCTGATTCGGATTAATCAATGTTTTCTGATACCAAAACGGTGATTTAAATGATTGTCAAATTTCTCTTATCTTCTAATATTTACCTGTTGTGTAAGATTTTATTACAAGCAAATTTTCATAAGCAATATATTTTAACGTTGTTCGAACTAAAGCCCAAGCAGTTAAACTGTAAATAAAGAGGCCCACTGCCCCCTGTGACCTCACACAAATCAGATCATCAATCAAAATCTCAGTTCCTTCTGCAGAAACTGGGATATATGCTGGGTCTCCAACTAGAATCTCAATAAAGAGCTTTGATTTTATTGGATAAAAATGTTTTTATAAATATAACCTTGGTATTTTACAAATTTTAATTGGCACCAGATTTTAGAGCTGACATTACACTGACCCTATGATTACTCCCATGTCACCCATTTCCAACCAGGAGCTTCTTTGTCTAAAGTCCACGAAAACTGTCAACAACCACACCATTTAATGGTGGTTTGAATTTGCAAATACTTTGTTTCTCTCAGCAATCACAAAGCCATATCCAGAAATATTCCATGGTAATTGTATTTGCATCTATTAAATGTAGATTAAGAGGATTTTATTTTAACAAGATTTTATTTACCAACTAATTAGAATGACAATTTATTACAAGTATGAAAATAATTAACTCAGAATTAATTGAGTACTATAGTTCTTCTGGTTGTAAGAAAAAAATAAAATCATTTTTCTCCCACTCCATGGGTCTCCTTTTGCATAGCTACTTACATCAGTCATTGTTATTAATTTCACATTTTTACTTACTCTTTATTTTCCCAGACATTTGAATTCTGGTGCTGTCAATTTCATAAAGGTCTTTTAAAGATAGATTTGCTATGTATCAAAAGCAGTTGTTTAAATAACATGTGGCTCTGACAGGTTTGCTCTTGATACTTTTCACAGCAGCAGCTAGGAGAGCGTTTTACCATCAGTCATGGCTTTCTTTGTTATGCTTTTCTTTTTTTCCTCCAATCAAAGTAAATATGTTCTTACAACCAGCATTACCCTGCAAAATTTTTCCTCATGTTTAACGACTATGACTCGCAGTACAACGAACAACAGAAAACAAACAAATGAAATCCTGAATCTCCCTTATGGAACAGGCAGTTATTACATTATTTCCTTCATATATTCATCAATGCCATCTCAATATTATTCTTTTGTCAAATGTCAGTAAAGTAAATAAGAAAATAAAGCTTCTTCACTGGTATGATGTGATCATTAGCAGGCCAAGCAAAAACTTACTTAACTTCAAAACATTATGTTTAGAAAGCACAAATGCAACTAACTATACATTCCTACCTCCAACATTTTCAAAAATAACTTCATCCTTACCGTTCTTCCATTAAAAAAAAAAAAAAAATCTGTGTCTTAAGATAAAAGGGCCACAAAACTCCAAGACCTAATCCCTGCTTCAGGCTAATGACAAAAAATATTTTTCATTTTTAGTTCACATCCTGAAAAAATTCCCTTCACAGAAAATGTTCTGAACTAGACACTGAGAGGCAAACGTATTTGCTTCATTTGAGATTTTAGGATGACAAAGTCAAGAAGAAACATAAAGTTGACCTAAAATAGATCAGCTTCAAATGTTAAAATACTTGTTAGTACATTGAACAACTTCAAATTTCAAATTTTAAACTATAAATAAATATTTGAATGACAGAACACCTTACCCTCGTACATCTAGGATTAAAAATCATATCATATTTATTTCCAATCATGTCACTGAACTGCTACTGTTTTCTGGACTGCAAGTAAATGACTTATTCATAATAATGTGACACAGTTATGTATGATTGATTGGTATGAAATAGAAAGGGACTTTGTCCTCAGCCTAAGCTTAGAACAGGGTCTGTCCAGTGCATGTTCCCTGTCCATCTCCAGCTAGCCGACTGAATTACTGATTGCCTTTCTGGTAAGAGACTCAATAGATTTTTCACAGCATAATTTCCACTCAACAATAAATTACCAATCCCAGTTGACTCTTGTTTTAAGACATTTCTAGATTCCAATTCATTACAATACAGTAATTTCAACTTTATTTTGGACTTTTAAGAATCTCATCATGGTTTTTCAAGTTTCAAGGAAAAAAAGACAGGCAGACAAAATGCTCCTCAATTTTTGTTTCTTTTACAGAAGAAAACACAACTAATGACAAAACAATGAGTAGTATAGAAATCTTCCTGATTGTACATACTGTACCTTAAAGCTTTTCTTTCTCTTTGCTTTTTCCTCCCATCTCAATAATTAGGCCAGGGAAGGAAGAAAGGAATTTTTAGTCCAGTGGTCGTGATCTACATCCTATAATTTTGTTGCTGTTTTCCCTCTAGCCAACTAACTCCATTAATCAGCTGGAAAAACATGCAGGAAACTATCTACACATCCCAATATTATCCTCCACGGAGAGCTGTGAATTAAAAAGTTGTTTCTGAAAGAACTTCTGTTACAGAAAAGAACTGTGGTGGCAAGCCAGGGACCTCAGAGCAGTATCAGTGTTACTCTGGGTTAGTTTAAGCTTTGGTTATAAGTAAGGGTAATGAAAATTTGGTGAGTTTACCTAATGAATGAGCAGTCACTTAAAAATTGCCTTTCTGTATAGCCAAAGTCTTATTTCCAGAGTAATTAAAGTCAGTCTGAGACACATTTTTACCCAGATAATTTCAGTTATTTTTCCCACTTAAGAATTTTATGAATTAACTAATTCTTAAAAATCTAAGAACAGACCTAATCTACTGCTATTTTATGTTGACAGTGCAGTTTAGTTTCGTACACTGTGGTTTCTATTGATTGTTGTATTTCCTTTATTCAGTGAACTTGTTCCTTTGATTACATTGATTCTAATAGTCCCAGTTATTTTGATTGGTATCACATGGGTAATGCTCTGTATTACTCTACCATGCAGTGCTAAAATAATCATTCATTTGATTATTTGAAAATTAGTTTAAATCTTAAAATATGCATTTTTAAGCCTTCTGAAATAATAAAAATACTGAACCTTCCATTTTTTCTCAAATTCAATTCATATGAGTCCTGATTTCATCACTGAATATTTAATCTAGATATTCTATACAACACACACACATGAAAGGACAGTTGCATCAGCAAGAGTTTATTCTGCATATAAGTCATTGTATGTTAGTTATGCAAATAAATGGCAGGTCTCTAGTTCACATTAATATTTTAGCTACAAAACCAATAATGAACAAAAATTACTCTAAGTCAAAAAGGCTTTATGTGTAAACTCAATCTGCATATTAATAATATGATACATATTTAATAATAGATGTTCACGAGACTTAGAACTTAGAATGTGGGTAGATAAATGGACTAAAATAAGACAGAACTGAAGTCATGACTAATCCCAATAACCATATCCTACTCTATATTTGCATATAAAATAGATTGCAATTCTCTGGTACCGTTTTCTTCTTCTTAAGAAAAAATAATTTACTGTTAAATATTTAAAGAATCAAAATAGAAATCACTTCTGAAAATGCAAATTATTTAAACAGATGGCAATTGCTACACATCTCAAAGGAGAGTTTTAACTTTGCTAATTTTTAAAAAATAAGGGTGTAAAACACATATACAAAAAAGCTATGCCAAAATAAGACTTGCTCTGAAACTAGACTTAAGTACTCTACCTTAACATCAGTAGATATAAGACATTTGTAAACATCCCATATTTGATGTTAAACTAATTCAACTACAGCCACAAAAGAAAACATGATTCTAACATTTGCACTCAGTACTTTGAAATATATCCCCCAATAGGTTTTGTTCCCCTCCCTCACCTACTGCAATCTAGTCCCTTTAAGAGTTTCAACACACTTTTTTAGAAACTAGTGAAAATATACTAGTTTCTTCCTAGTCAAGATTGCTAACAGCAGAAAGATACTGATGTGATGCTGGAAATTTGGTAGCAATACCAAGTTTGATCTAAACATAAGTACACTGTTTTCAGTTGCAATGTTTCAGATCACCAGCGAAAATGACTCCTAATGGCTGTAAGGAGATTATGTACCTCCCCAAGCAGATGACTTATTTCTTGCTATCCAACACCAGCATTAGGAAAAAAACTGGCGGGCACAAACTGCTGGAAAATGGCTGCAGATGCCCCAGACTTAACTCAACAGACAGAGCTATAGAAAAGTGGAGAAAACTGGCTTTTGCAAATGAAAACCTCAGAGGACCTCTGTCAATAGACATCTTATGGTTAGAGAAGGATTAAAACGAAAGCAAGCAACTTTGATGGTGGAAATGACACCAACAAAACTGGGTCAATAATCTGAGCATTTCTTCCTATGCGTGTTTGATTGGACCTGGGGTAAGCTGCAACAGAGAGAGAATGAACAACATCAGAACGTATAGATCAGCTTAAGGGTCAGGGCGACATGAGAAGCCTGAGAACACGGTATCTACTTCTTTTTCCTCCTTTAGAAAGCAAATCAAACCACAAAAGAACCCTTAAAGTTCAAGCAAGTAACAAAACAAAAAACTATTTTTTAAAAGTGCTAATAAACCAATTCTAGGTATTAACAACTTTCAACATTCTGGACCTCACATTTTTCACAAGAATCTGTTGTAATGGGTATCATTCACGTATCTATCATAAAGATTTGATTCTAAGATGCTTTGATCAAATCTTAGATAGCTAATCAATTCTCCACAAGTTATTTGTTCTCCTGAAGATCTTTCTGTGCCAATGTCTGAAACGAAAACATATAATAATTATTCATGAGGAAAATGAAATTTTTAATAAAGAAATTACATAAAATTTATGTAAATTTAGCACGACAATAACTCTGTGCATTTCTAAATTTTATTTTTGAAAGTTTTTATAAAAAAATATAAACCCTAACATAACCTATTGGAACATTTTAAACAAAAAATGTTTATAGAAAATAAACATGAAACAAAGCAAGTAAAATATTAAATTAAAACTATATTTTAGCATACTTTAAAGCTAGCTATATATGTCTTCTATTAAAATAGAGCATGGCAAATATTGTGTTCTTTTTATAAGCAACCAAAGTAAGAGGTTAAAAGCAATTTAAAGTGCCCCCACACAACCCGAAAATAAGTTTCCAATAACTGCATCCAAAGTTCTTGAGATCATAGGATCAAATATAATAAAAGTATAATTTATGCCTATCAAAAACAAAAAACTTATAAGCTTTACGATAGTTAAACTCCTTTAGTGCACTAATCCTCTAATAACAGTTTCAGTCAGGGGAATGTTGTGAGGTCAGGTTTGAATTTTTTTTAACTTAGTTTGAAATTGTACATATTCTCTTTGAATATAACTTGCTTTATGTAGCACCTAACTCTCCAGGAACTCAAAACACTTCACAGATTTATATTCTGACTTTAGTTTTGTTTGTTGTTGCTATTTTGTTTTTCGTATCTAGTACAAATCCATGTGAAGGGCTAAACACTAGTTCAATGATATGTGCACCAGTAAAACCACTCTTACCAGTAGGTAAAATAATGCTGAATGGAAGTTAAAGAATCAATAATGGCTTACCAACTCCAAAAATTCTATTTCTGTTTGGAGAGCTTCATAAACACTTTGCATGTCATCTTCCTTATAAAGTTCTAATTCTCTTTTAAGTCTGTTTTAAAAGAAAAATTCACCCTATTAGTTCAGAAACTTTTGTAGTAATCTTTTATTACATGAATAGTGGCAGGTATGCAGCTTCTATCATCAGAATTTCAAGCTAACACTAAAGAATTTGGAAAGAAATTTTAGTTCTCTATAATTCTGTAATGATTATATAAAATTTTGGGGAAAAAAAAACAAACTCCTACAAAGAAAATAAGGTAGATAGACTGAATAAATAATAGACACAATAATTTTAGGTTAATTAAAAGAGCAACATGGTTTAGTGGGAAAAATATAGTACTGTCTGAAGACTTCTGTTTTAGTCCTGGCCACTAACAAGCCGAATAACCTTGGCTAAATCATTTAGCCTCTCTGAACCTCACCTGAAAAATTTTAAGTACAGAAAAAAAACGACCTCTGAGATTTCTTCTTGCTCTAAAATTAGACATTAACTTTATAATGCACATATGAAATTAAAATATATTTTAATTTAAAAGCAAGAAATTAAAATCAATATTCCTTTTTCCTAATTAAGTCTCTAACCCTATGAATATTCTGAAATTACTTTTTTTCAAAAATTATTTTATATCTACATTTAATGTGAAAAATAGTGAAGAAACAGTCTTCCATTTCTAGCATTATGACTAACATTCCTTCCAAAAAGAAAAACATAAGCAAAAGCCATGAGCTATGGCTTGAGGGGTAGAGAACTAGGGCTTCAGACTGGGCAACTAGGAAGGTGAGGCTGATACTGACGGCAGATAGTAAGAGTAACATTGCTCTCACAAACCTAAGCAAGTTGGGCCAGCCACAAGATGAAATGTATAGATCAACTTGAGCCTTTTCTGAGTCCCACCACTTAAAAGAAGGATGAAGAGGTCCTAGGCCAGTTGCATTCCCTGTATACTAGCAGAAGCAAAAGAAAATCCTCTCTGAAGGAAAGTTTAACATATTTAGACCCACAGGCCTCTCACAGATTAAGAGCAAACAATGAGCTCACAATCAAAGATCACCAAGCATAAGAATGCAAGCCACTACAAGTAAAAATCAGCAGAGACGATAAATAATGGATTAAATCCATAATATATGAAGAACTACAAGTCAATAAGAAAAAGACAACACAATGGAAAATGGACATGCACACGCATACACACACACACACACACACACACAAACCTTTACCAGGTTATTCACAAAAGAAGATACCAATGGCTAATAAAAATATGAAAATGTGCTCAACTTCATTAGTTACCAAGGAAATATAAAGGAAAAACACAATGAAATGCTACTACACACCCACCAGAATAACTAAAATGAAAAACAGGCAATTCCAAGTGTTGACAAGGATATGAAGAAACTAGAACTCTCAGACACTGCTGGCACAGGATATCATTTTCCATTCTTTTACTTTTAACCTATCTATGTCTTTATATTTAAAGTGGGTTTTTTGTAGAAACCATATAGTTGTGTCTTACTCTTTTATCTAACATGATAATCTCTATCTTTTAGTTGGTGTGTTTAGACCATTTACATTTAGTATAATTATTTATATGGCTGGATTAAAAATATAGCAATTCGCAAGTTGTTTTCTATTTGTTCCATCTGTTCTTTGCTCCTTTTTCCCCTCTCTTTCTGCCTGCTTTTGGATTAATTGACTTTTTTAATGATTGTATTTTATCTCCTATATTGACTTATTTTTCATACATATTTTTAAAATTTTGTAATGCTTGCACTGGGTTTATAATATACATTATCAATTTATTACTGTATTTTCTCAAATAAGATTATACTGTTGTACTTACAGTATAAGAACTTTACAACTGTATATTTCCAATTTCTCCCTCCAGTTTTTTTGTTCTATTGTTATCATACATTTTTCTTTTACACATACTACAAACATAAAATATATTATTACTATTTTTGCTGGAGTAATTTATCTTGCAATTAAAAATGGGGAAAAATGCTTTTATATTTACCATCATTTTAACTATTTCTGGAGCTTTTATTTCTTTGTGTAGCTCCAAGTTTCTATCTGTTGTTATATTCCTTCTTCCTGAAAAACTTACTACAGGCTTTATTGTAACGTAGTCTATTGGCAAGGAATTCTATCAACTTGTATTTGTTTAAAAATATCTTAATTTGCCTTCATTTGTGAAAGATATTTTTGCTGAGAATTCTGAATTGACAGTTCTTACTTTCAATCTTTAAAGATGTCATTCCCTTATGTTCTGGCCTGCACAATTTCTGATGAGAAGTCTACTGTAATTCTTACCTTCATTCCTCTGTGTGTAACGTGTCTTTGTGTCTTTTCTTTTCTCTTTCTGCCTTCATGATTTTCCCTTTTATTTTTGTTTTTCTGAGGTTTGAATATGATGTGCATACACGTTTGCTTTTTTAAAATGCTAATTGGAGTTCTTGAGCTTCTTGTATCTGTGCGTTAAAGTATTTTATTATTTTTGTAAAATTTTCTGCCATTATCTCTAACATATGGAACAGTACAGATGAATCTCAAATGCATTATGCTAAATAAAAGAAGCCAGACCTAAGAGTCTATATTGCATATTACTCCATTTTATATGACATATTGCAAAAGACAAAACTAGGAAAAGAAAATAGATCAAAAGCTGAGGGCAGATTGCTGGCATTGGTTATAAATGGGCAAGAGGGAACATTTTGGGGTGATGGAAGTATTCTCTATCTTGATTGTGGTGATGGTTCATCACTGAATGTGTTTGCCAAAATTAATAGAATTGTATACTAAAAAGAGTGAATTTTACTGTATGTAAATTATGCTTCAATAAGCCTGTCTTTAAAAAAAAGACAATGACAGTAATCCAGGTTCCCATAGGATAATAACAACTGCCTAAATAAAAACTATCTCTCAAAAAGAAGACCAAATAAGGCCACCCATAAGCCATACCTACAAGCTAACTAGGAAATAAAAGATATTAGAAACTTGAAATTACATGTAAGTAGGGAAATAAACATCTATATCCAGCAGAACCAGCTCTGAAGTCTACACCAATGCAGAGAGTGAAGCAGCAATTAAATGGAAGAAAAGAGAAAGAAAAGGAAGGGGATATGGAGTGATGAAACACAGGTTAAATGACCCTCAGAAAGAGAAAGTCTCACTCTGTGTAGGAAAACGCTGAGAACAGGTCTGAAGCCTCACGGTTGAGAGTACTGGCTTTGTAGAATCCAAGGAAGTTTTAAATCAATGGCTCTCCTATTTTGGGGGTGTAAGGGTTGCTGTGTTTTTTAATTTTATGACTTTCTTTTTTTTCTCCAGGGCCCTTAATTTCCCCTCTTGCTTCTTTCTTGTCTTTAAAGGTTGTAGCCCCTTCCAAGTACTATTTCTCACCTAATAACCATAGGTGAAACAGATTAAGTTTTCAAAGAACTATACTAACAATAAAAAGCAAAAACACTTTTAGAGATCAGATAATACCAATACTATATAAGTTGGTCCTGAGTATAAAAAATAAGGAAAATAGTCAAATTCTTTTCAAGTGTAATAGTGATACCTAAACTTGATAAAGATAGAAAGATAATACACACACACACACACACACACTCGCCAATATATGAATACTGATGCAAAAGTTCTAAGTAAAATATTAGCAAAAAGAACTCAAACCACATTAAGTAAATAATATAGTATGACCAATTAAGATTTATTCTAGGAATGAATGTATAGTTCAATATTAGAAATTCATTAATATAATTGACCTTATTAATATTTCTAAGGAGAAAAATAATGTAATCACCTCCAGAGGTGCTGAAAAGAGCTTTGAAATATTCAAAACTTATTCCTGATAAAAACACTCAATAAAAATCAGAGTTAATGGACACTGTTTTTATATGATAAAAAACACATGTCAGTCCTAAAGTAAGCATCTTAGTGGGGTAATCCTAAAGTCAATCCCCTTAAGTTCAGGAACAAGGAGGCCCACTGTCTCTGTTACTTTTTAATATTTTGATGGAGGAACTAGCCACTGAAATTAATCTGAGAAAATAAGTAGAGGAATAGGAATTTTAAAGAAGAAATAAAGCTACCTCATTTCTTGGGTGATTTGACAATATACCTGGAAAAGCTGGGAATCAATGTCACAAGCATTGTGACAACATGACTTCTTCTTGATAGGACATCATAGAAATGTTAATTATCATCAAGTTAATTAAAATTTAATTTGATCCCAATAAAAATACTAACACCTTTTTTTTTTTAACCTGGTGCTAGGCAAATCAATTCTAAAGTTAATACTAAAAAAAAATAAACATTCTAGGAAAGCTCTTGAATGTTTTTCTTTTTCATTGAAAGCCCTGGAAAAGAAAACACAAAGAATGTTGACTAGCCCTGCCAGATATTAAATCATACTATTAATCCTTTATAATTAAACAGCGCACTACTGGCATATAAATAGAGCAGTGGGACATAGAAGACGGAAATAGACCAAAAGACAAGTGGACATTTAGTATATGATAAAGGTGACTCTTGGGGAAAAAAAAAAGATGGACTCTTTAATAAACCATGTTGGGAAAACTGGATAGTCATTTGCTATGTGGATATAAATGGATAGTCAAAGCTAAAATTGCATCTGTATCTCACAGCATATACAAAAATACACTCTAACTGTATCAAAGATTTAAATGTAAAAAATGAAACCATATAAGGACAAAGTGAAAGTATAGGTAAATTCCTTCATAAGCTGGTTGTGGTCAAAGACTTTCTAACTATGGCTCAAAATATAAATGCAATAAAAGAGTATTAAATTCAATTACATTTTAAAAAATTGAAAGCAAAAAACATAAGTAAAGTCAAAAGATGAATGACAATCTGGGAGAAAATACTTGCCGCATATATCACAGATAAAAGTCTAATCTCCATAATATATAAAGAAATTTTATAATCAAGGGGAAAAAAAGACCAAAACTCTGATATAAAAATGGGGAGAAGTCATAAATAGACAGTTCACAGAAAACAATATACAAATCAATTTTAAACATATG